TTTGAGTAGCATTTAAATTATTAACATAATAAATTTTTTAAATTTTATTAGTATCAACAATTTAATACATGAAACTCTCTTTTTTTTACAAATTTTAAACATATTACTGATGATGCTACTCAATATTCTTTTACAATTCACACTTAATTTACCAAACCCTCAATACAAACATATCCTTCATGCTATTACAGGCACTTATACTATTACTACATACAACAATATCAAAGAAATTGCAAACAAACAAACTAACTCTCTACTTCTAAATCTTTCTAACAATCTGCTTTATATGTACTTTCATAAACTTTGGTTTACACATAACATATATCAACATCAATGGGAACAAGCTCAAAACATTACATTCAAAACTAAACGAGCAAAAATAATTTTACCAACCTCTTCAAATTTATCAACTAATATTACAACTATCAACCAACTAATTAATACCTCTTCTCATATTAAAAAGTGGTTTTTACAAGACTCTTCACTAACAACATGTTTTCTTTAACTTTAGTAACAAACATCTTAGGTTTCCTCCAACCTATCCTAGCTTAAACCTAATTTGAAATAATTAGTAGATAGCATTTATAGGAAATAGGGAGTGTAATGACACATTGGGTGCCAAATTTGTAGCACAAATATAGTTAGAAATCTTTAATCTTAGAACTTCTGCTTTCTAAAATGTAATAAAGTTTCTACTCTGATGTTATTGAAATAAAAAAAAAAAATATTTTTATTAGTATTAGATAATATGTAATTAGATAATATGTAATTAAATAATATATAATTAAACAGTAGATAAAAATATTTTATTTAATAATAATAAATATATAATTAAAAAATTTATTGTAATATACTATATATTACTGTATAATAATTTTATATTAAAAAAATAAATTACCAAGTTTTTATATTATTAATTGCATTTTGTAAATCTAATTCAATTTTTTCTTTTTCATTAATTTCAATATTTTCTACTAAATTATTTGTGTCATTTTCTTCATTTTCATCTTCATCTTCATCTTCTAAATCTTCTTTAGTAAGTTTATCTTTATCTTCTGCTTCTAAATGTTTTATAAATGCATTTACATTGTTCCATATTCCTTCATTAAAATATTTTATACAATGTTTACATTTGAATTCTATTTGATTATAACAATTCCAATGATATCCATGACCACATATTAAAATAGTTCCATCAGAATCTTGTTCAAATAGCTTGTAACAATAATCACAACTATTAAAAATAGGTGGATATAAAGTATGATAACCTGTTGGTAATACTCTTTCATCTACATCATCCATAGTAATAAATTTAATATCTAAATTTTTTTTTGCTTTTTTTGTTTTTAGTTTTGGTATTGTTGTAGATAAAATAGTAGTTCTTAATATTTTTTGATATTCTTCAAAAACTATTTGAAATTGTTGAAGTAAAAATAAACATGTTTTGTTAGTTAAAAATTCTAATTCAGATGGTGAATATGGATAATGTTTAGTATTCATAAATGCTTCTTTAAATGCAGAGTGTTTATTAGCATCTAATAATAAAATATAATTATTTAATATTTATATTTTATAAAAATAATTATTAAAATTTTTAAAATACCTAATAAATATGCTTGTTTTTGAATATTATCTGCATTATCTTTACATGTTGTTGATGCTCTAATTCTGCTATGAATATTTTCAATCCAATAATCATAAAATTAACTAAAAAAAGTTTAATTGCTTCTTTTATAGGATAATTATTTTGTTCCCAATAAAATATATCAGATAAAAATGCTAATGGAGCTTTGTTATAATTTTTACGTTTTCATCTTAAAGCAAAAGTCCAAATTCGAAAAATTGTTTCAAGATATTCATCAAATGATCCTGATCGAAATAATACAGCATATATATCAAGTACTGCTGGAATAATATTATCTAAAAGATCAATTATTGTTTGATATTCAGTAAATTTGTATAAAGTTTCAAATTTTTCTATTATTAAATTTCTAATTTTAATCCATGCACTATATGTTAATTCTAAAAGTAAATTTATTCTTCATGGTTTTGGTTTTTTAGCAAACTTTTTATGTAATCCAAATATGCTATGAAATAATTTTTTAAAAAAACTATAATAAATTTTTATAACTTGTTCTCTGCTATTAAGACTAACATGTAATGGTCCAAGAATAGGAACAAAAGAAATTATTCCAGATGGAATTTCTGATTTTAAATTATTCTTATGCAAATGAGTAATAGCTCTTCTAATAAATAATTGTCCTGGCCAATCTGCAATTACTGGAGCAATATAATCTTTTAAATGATTTGTTTTTTCATTATATTTAAGAATTATATTTAAAATTTCTAAATAATCTTGCATAGAATGAAGATGTTGTTCTTTGATTCCAATTAATATTGTTTCTTTCATCTTTTTTTCATCTTTTCTTTCTGTAATAGCATCATCATAACAATGTACAGTAAGTTGATCAATACAATCAAATTTAAAACTTTCAGACTGCTTTGTACTAGCCCATTGAATTTTATGTTATGTATAAGAAAGATTAAAAAGTTCTTAATACTTATTAATAAGTTGATTGCAAATAATTGATGCATCAATATTTACTGGATTGTGAACTGATATATTATTAAAAATTACTAGTACTAGTGCACATTGCTCAATTTTTTTGCATATACTTGTTGCTAAATGAACTGTTTCAGATAAATTAGTATCATCTGGTCTTCTTTTTTCATGAATATTATGATAATCATCTATATTATATATGCAAAGAGAATCTTTCTAAAAAAAAAATATTAAATTTTATTTAAAAAAATTAAAAATTATAAATATAACTTTATTTAAATATTAAAAAAAATTTACTTACATTTTTAAGAAAATATTCTATAACTTTTGATGAATGTTGTGTAGCAATTTTTTTCTTATTATTATAAACTGTTTTATTAGTAACAGAAATTCCAGCATTACTTAAAGTATTAATTGTTTCACAAGATGCTCCACATGCTGCAAGATATAATCCAAGTTCTAATTTAAATTGATTAGCTTGTATATTACGAATACCAGCAATTAAATAAAGAATTACTACAACTTTTTTTTTTGCATCTTCTTGTAAATGTAATGCCCAATTTGATGGTATTATAATTTTACACATTTCATCAAAAAATCCAATTAATTCAGAATCAGATTCTTCAAGCATTTTGTTAAAATTATTAGGTTCATGAACAAGAGTAGCTGATTCTTTTCGTTGTTTATTATATATTATAGTTGTCATTTTTTTAATTTTATCAGCAAGAGATACTTGTGATAATGGATCTAAAAAAATAATTAAATTATAAATTATAAATAAAGTTTTATAAAATTAATAAAATAAAAATATTTACCAATAGGTTTATTATTTTCAATAATATTATTTAAACTAATATTATTTTAATAATTTTTTCTATAATTGTTCTAAGCATTTTCAACAACTTCCATATAATGAGCATTACAAATTTGTTGATCTATTTGTAGATATGAAAACTGTTAAATAGTTCCTGTAGCTAATGCTTTTGCAAAAGCATTATTAGTTAACTTTCGAAATATTGTAGATTCTTTGTTACAATTATAAATAGAACAAGGTCCTTGATTGATTTTTTGTTTAGGCATATTGATAACAAGATTTATAATAAAATTTAATAAAAGAAATACTAATTTAATAAATTTTATTATAATGAAATAGAAAGAGGCTTTTAAAATTTTTTATAAAAGAAGGCTTAAAAGACTTATATCTAAGCTAAAAGGCTTATTATATTATGGCTTATAATTAACAATAAAGCCATTCTAAACAAAAAGCTTTTAGTAACAAAAAGTCTCAAATAAATAAACAAAAAAAAACTTAAGGCTTTTTTATAAATAATTTTATTATAAATAAATAATAACTTAGCCCATTTTTATATATTAAAATTATTTTAAATGTTATCTAATTTACATTACAAATATATATAATTATTTAATATTCAAATTATATAGTAAATTTTTAAATTTAACAGTACGTATAATTATATATTATCTAATTGCAAATACATATAAATTTAAATATATATGCTATCTATAATTTTTTTTAAATAATGTATGTATAATTAAATAAACAGTATCGATTATATAACTAAACCAAATTAATGCAAATGCTTAATTATATAAAATATATATACAAATAATAACTATTAATTTAAAATTACTAAAGTTTATTAATTTTTGATTTAAATATTTAAAAATATCGTTATTTAATATTTAATTATACAAGCAAATAATAATTATTAATTTAAAATTGCGATTTCAAAAGTCTTAGTTATTCCTTCCAATAATGTTTGTACCTAATTTTTTACTTTGGCTCTCTTATATAGCATGAAAATAGTACACCTTATTATGAACTCTAATATAATCTAATTTTTAAATTTGTATAAGAACTTATCTAATTATGTAATTTAAAAATATTGTTATTTTAATATTTATTTAGATAAAATTTTAAGCTCTAGGTTACTTACTCATTTACAACTCTATTACCAAGTTACAATCGGGTAACCTAGTTAGAGTTAAAAATTACATTTTACAAACTTATATAAATTTCATACATAATATAAAGTACCAAACTACATATAAAAAACTCACCTTGTATTATTGAATTATAGTAAATCTAGCATAAAGTTTACTAATCAAATCACTATACATATAATCCAACCAATTATATAGAATTATATTCATGTTCCTTACTCCAAATTACAAATTATATAAATTACAATTCTAGACCTGATTTACCTAGTTAATTAAATTTCATGCACATAAAATGCTCAATCTTATATCTATCTTTTCAGAAATTTGTCGAGGGATTTGCCATATTCTCTAGCATAATTTACCACAGATCAATGACGCCCTTAAATGTTTCTTCTGCGCGAGATAATTGCGTTGTTAGATTTTCTATTGAAACAATTCAATCAACAGAAAAAATGAATCAAAACTGTTAGAAATGCTCAACAAATTTACAGATGATATCAATAAATTATTAAAAAAGATTAATGCATTACAAAGTGCACAAGGCACCCATTCTGAAATCACCACACCTTCCTTGTTAGGCAGCTTTAACCTATATGTCAAACTCAATTTTGAGATGACAAAAGAGCGTGCTGAAGCGCCGATTAAATTTTTGCTCTCACCTTGTAATTTGTGTTGATTGACTTTCCTTCCATAATATTTTGGAATAGCACTTGTGTTAATTTAATCTGGGTCACCCAGTTAATAATAACTACAACCCAATTTACAGGATCTGAAATTATAGTTTTTTTCAGCAGCATTCATATTACCTAAATTAAAATTTCAAATCTATTTTAAACATTAAAGTAATATTAAAAATAACACTTAAAAAAAAAAGTAAATCATTGAAATAATACTTAAAAAATTTTTTTGAGCCTACTTAGCTATATATTATGTATTAGTTTATTAGCAAAAAATAGCAATAGTAAAAGTTTCTCAGGAATGTGATTATATATAATTAAATCCACAAACTGCTAGTAAAGCGAAAGACTAATGTATCCTAAGAATTATTTAACTGTAGATAACATGCTTAGCTACTTGTCATATGAACGATTACATTGTCATATAGTAGGTACTCTAAAATTAATATAAATATTTGTGTAACGATCTACGTTCAATTGTATTCCATTAGCCAATCAAAAGGACTTTCCATCATGCTGGCTTGGTTAGAATGATATTCATTACTACAATCATTATTTATCGTGACAAATATATAATGAATAACTAAGATAAGTTTGGCCTATCAGCAGTCCTTTGTCTCATTAAGATTTTTGCTATATATAATTAGAGTAGCTGTGCGATATAGTGATGAATACTAATTATTCTGTGCAATCTATTTCAAAGTATTGTGCATTATATAAATTAATTAATGATATATGTATAAATGAAATCATGATTTTTGCATTTGTTTAAACTGTAAATAAAACTTGATTCAATAATATGATAGACAACTTAGAGATAAACAATTATATTTTTTATATAAAATACTAATAATATTACATTCTAATAATAGAAGGCTGAATAAATTAGTAATGCAACCAAAATTTAACAGATTAGCCAAAATTTTAATCAGAATAAACAGAATTGATTAATTTTTTCTAAAATCGTCTGAAGTCTTACTAATAAACTAGCAGTTCATGTACTAAGTAAAGGTGCCCAAATGATAA